CGACCTTCCCCCAAATGTCTCTATAAAAGAATTATTCCAGAATTCCCAGGTGTATGTTAAGGAATGTGTCCTCAAGAAATTCATAAACCAATCCAAGGCCGGCCCCTCTATAAATAATCTCATGGCTTCGGAATATTTTGTTTCTGGTATTTCCAACCGTTGACATTCCTGTACAATTTTAACCAAGATTTAACATTCACCTTTTCCCCATTGAATTTTTCAATCACCATATTTTTAGTAATTGTACTCATGGCTTTTTCTTTTGAAATCACTGCCGCAGCGGCCGGTTGCATGCCCTCCAAGGTTATGTTTGTGGCCTCTTCCAAATACTTATCATTAAATACAATGTTACCTTAGTTATCCAAATAGATTTCTTGCAATTCATCGGAGAGTGTAATTACTACATTACGATATTTATTTCGAGTGGTTGAACTCTTAACCACTCTCTGCACCACCGGTGTTTGGAAAAGCTTGACATGGTGTGTGCTTGTTTGTTCATGAGGGGGAAATAAAAATTTTTCCGGTTGGTGTATCAGTTTAATCGTTTTCACTTTAACTACCGTTGTACGGACCTCTGCAGCCTCCGAGATGAAGTGAAACCTTGCTTGTATTCCTGTCATACTTGTACCGATTTTGTGTTGATTTGTAAGTCTCGAAATCAGAGTCTTAGGAGTCACCGAGGCGATTGGGAGGTTAGGTGAAAATTCTATTCAGACATGCTGATGTAGTAGAAATACTGTAATTGAATAACCACATAGACAAATCAGAATTACAATCAGAATAGTCGATGAGACTGTTTCTCACCTGAATCAACACAAATGTCGATTACCCGTTTTATTCCATTTATACTCTAACACAATCTCAATTACTCTTTCTTCGAGCAGAGCCTTTCGCTCCTCCTTCTCCAGCGGTGTTGACCGCAACCAAGTTTGGCAGGAACGTTCAAACTTACATATATATAAAAAAAAGTGAAATAAAAAATATTGAATTGCTTACGAATAGTTATTTTTCTCCGTTATTATTTTTATCTGTCATTTTTGTCCTTTTTTTATACATGGAAAATATATAAAAACAATTTTTTATATATAAAAAATCATTTTTACCGAGATTCAAAATTTTGGTCAAAAACTTTTATTTTCAAATCACTGAGCATTAATACTTTAAATTACACCCAGATTACACAGTTGCACAAAAGTTCAAAAGTCAAAGCATGTTATTGTAATTTGCAAAAAATATAAGCGACACCCAGAATTTAGCGAAACGCAACTCGCTTGATTAATATTACATTGCATTGCAATAACATGAGAAGTAATGTATCGACCCAGGAAATGCACTACAAATACGAAATTAATGAGTAATTACGAACATAATTATTATGACGTTATCGCATTATAGTGAAACTATGAATATTGTCGGATTCCTGAAATCGATGAAATCCTTGCAAATTACATGCTTAGTTGTAATGTCGGATTCTAATTTTAATATGCTCAATGTGGAGTGGAGCCTCTAGAAGCGGGAGTTTCGCGGGAATGCTTTAAAATGGCTCTGACGTTAAGCCGTAGCACACCGATCATATGGTGCCATTAATCAATGTCATCTTCTNTCCCCCCCCCCCCCCCCCCTCGTCCCCCTACACATATACACATACACACACGTGAGTAAGAAAAATTGAAACGGTTATTTCTAAACCGAAACATATCTGCTTTTAACAAGAAAATGAGCCGACGATACAGCTGTATACATCGCATAAGCAAGTATCTATGTTATATATTATCTATGTCAATGATAACATTCGGCTTCAAAGAATAACTAGCAAAAAGGTATTGATCACATCAAAAGCACAGTATATCCATTCCCTTACTATTTTATATTTGATTTCGTCGTTTCATAGAAAATCTAAAGTCTGTTATTTTAAGAAATTTAAATGAACTCGTTTATTCTTGTACTATTGAAAAACATAGTAAAGAATTTATTTGAAAAAAGTTGTAACCTTCTGTTTGTATAATTAGCAATGTTTTCTCACTTGTAACGTTGTATTATCGCCAACCGTTTTTCGACACGTTGACCCTTCTTGTTTGCGCGAACGCGGTACTAACCCTCGAAAAACATGACCCATCCCTTCCATATCAATTATAATCTCCTCACAATCAAGGGGCTCGCATCCGTGCAATTAATATTGTAGCGAGAATGACTTTAGTGTATGATACGCGTCATTCCGCAATCATATTCTCGTTAGACTATGAGTGGAAGAAACGGCGCAATTAAACGACGCGAATTATTATGATAGTGACATGTTCGACACCGCCTTCAATATGCGTGTTTTAGCGATTCCGCGCGCATAATTAAAATGCCGAATGTTAAAAAGCAATTCTGTCGGCGCCGCTGGCGTGTCCGCGTATAAACTTTCACAGCGACGTATCAAATTACCGATCGGGCCGTATTGCAAGAGCTATACCTCCCTGCTCGAATTACTCGGACTACAAACCCCTTAATTACGATTGCTTGTGCCGTGTACATAAATCAATGTATGATGCTTGGATACGGCGAATCCCACGCGTGTTGTAGCGTTCGGTTTTCTTGTCGTTAAAACACCAATCCCCGTGCACATCGAAATTTGCTTTTCTTTTTTACGTATTTGCGGAGAATTCTGAGTGTAATCAGATACGATCGGATATGAAATAGTCGTAACATGTCATTTTGTATAAATACATGCATACGTCGTATCGAAAATTCAAGCGAGATAAACACATGTTTCATGCAAATTTGTGCTTTCGACGTGCATATTTGTTTGAAAATTTTCGGAATTCCACGGGATTGGTGAGTCATTAGTATTAATTAAATGTGACGCTAGGTTATAACATTAATTACAAGTAATGAATAAATCGAGTGCCGAAAGATCACGAGTTTTACGTATTCGGCGACGAAGTATGCGTATAATTCATATTTCATTAACTAATGTACTATCTCCATATACGCTCGAAGTTCGAGCCTTCTGACGACACACACATACACTCTTTCTCTCTGTCTGTTTTTCTCTGTAACATATTATAATACTGTAGAATAAGATTAATAGGGAAAAATTCTCGTTTCAGTTAGAAATATGAGGAAGAGTTAAGCGTATCACGGCACAACGGAAAGTCGTCAAAGATTTTGTCTTACACGATTCCTCTCTCGTTTCTTCCGTGGAGTATTTCACACGGATTTCCGCGTATAATTAAAGCTACCGGCACAACGAAATACAGTCTCATTTTTCCAATCGTATGCGTTTCAAAGCAATGCTTCGCGCGAGGGATCATGTGTCATCGATCATTAATCCTGTTGGATATGCGCGCATTGGAAATGCATCCTGCTTAAATTACCAACCAACGATTCATTAACGCTCGCGCAAACGAGTGCTCGTTTAAATTGACAGGTTTCTATAATTAATCTCTCCACAGCACAGCTATTATTTCTAACTTAACAGCCATGCGCTGAGATAAAGACGTTAAGGTGGATATAATTGAAAGTTTTATAAGCGGAACAAGCAGACGCGACATCACCAGCGAATGCGGTACGCAGAAATAAATCGAGTAAAACTGAATAAACGTATATGCATACATAATATCGCTTTTTTACCCAACAGTAAATTTTATTGAATTACTCATAGAAATACACTCGTTTACGGTTTGAACACTTTTTTTCGATTTGAAGCGTAATCGACGTTTAATGGAAAAATTTGTTCTTAAGCTTTTAAGTTTTTAATTCAGACGATAAGTTCTCTCATTGAACGTTGGCTGCGTATCAAGCTATTTCTAAGAAAAAGTACTCAAATCATTCTGCCAAAACGAATTCTAAAAAAGGTCTTTAAAATTTAATGAAAAGTAACGGAAATTGTAACGATTTCTTACTTTTTGAGTAACGACAAAGCTAAAAAATTACTTTTGTGCATTGTAACGAGTAACACGTCGTAAATAACTTTCTTCTCAAAAGTAACTCTATCAACTCCGATTAAAATATATTTCCCTTAGAAATCGATCCCTTAGAAATCGAATTTACAACTACGCATGCACTATATGAGTATGACGCTTTGTGAACGTTCAAATTGTATGCTCAACATTCCACGTTAAAATTCATCGACGTCCGACCAAGTCCATCCACGCTCAACCAGGTTCACCGATAAAACTACGAATTGCGTCGTAGAAGTTTGTAGTGTCAAATCGCCGTCCCGCGTCGTCCCACGCTGATTGCACTATTTCATTGCATTTTGGAGCACTCGCGACGCAATTAATATTCACGTTTTAACGGTGCTTGGCGAAAAAACGAAGACATTAACAAAAAGTCATGGTTTATCTCGTGGCGGAATCTACGACCTCAGTTAATAACAGTTTAGATAAATAATAAGTAAACATCTTTAACCCAGATCCAGCCACGACATGCAAGTGCAGATATGAGTGGATTAATCCTTTAAGATCGCAATTCGTATTATTCTAACGACTATATTCTGGCTTTTGATCGCAAAAGACTATATGCAAGAGTACAGAGAGCTTGTGAACATATCTTCGACCCTGCTCGGCTCGAATCAGATCCTCTACTGCTGCACTTGCATCCCTCTTTGAACTGCCTTTGTCGTGTGGCCGCAAGCACTACCAGATCTGAAACAAGAAATAATTTTCCTTATTAGTTGCGATACTAAGACGGTTGTGTGGTCTGAAAGACTTAAGGATACCGCGGTTCTAAATACATTTCTCTTTCAATTTTAAGTGATTCAGTAAAGGCCTTTGAAAGCTTAAAATCTTCCTGCAACGCAGCTGCACGATCTCGCACTCGTGGAAAATTCTGGGATCTCTGAGCGAAGAACTGATTGCAAAACAAAAGGAACTTTTGTATCAAGCCAATACCTGGTTTTAGGGCAGAAATTCCTCATTTTTCTGATTACAGCTGCCGTTCCTCTCGAAAAGGCAGGACACAATAGTGCTGTCCCTCGCGACCTCAGTACCAACTAATCACGATTACTCGCGAGTTAGTGTTCGTTGCGAGTTAGCGGATAGTGTTCGATACTAACGACGCCCGCTCCATCCGGCTGCTCCATCGGCGCAAGACGAAGGCGCCCGACGACCCGTGATTAGAGGAGAAGAATCAGAGAGAGAGACGTGAAAGAACGCACGCGAGGGAGGACGGCGGAAGGAAGGAAGCGGCCGGGAGAAGGAGATGGGAAAAAGGCCGAGTATCTTCCTATTATCGTTAAAAATGCGTGCGTCGGCACGACTATCGGTTGACAAACCGTCGGCCCACCTGTGATACTCTTCGCAATCGGATCAGGAACATATGTCTGCGAGTTCATAGAAACAGTTAGTCGCGAGTGTGCACAAGGTAAATACGCCGTGTTGCCGGTGATGGGAGAGAGAAACACCGATACCGCGGGACTCACACACGCGGTGTACGTCCCCGGTCTAGAGAGACTAGCTAATTCGATTGATATCTGATAGAAGAAGCTTATCTTCACAACTTCAGGGTGGTCAGCAGCTGCTGCCCGGTCTCCATGATCAACGACTTCACATGATCCGCGTGCATGATCTGGCTGCACATTTCGGTGCATCTCTGAAACGCTACCATGTCGTCCCTCGGTAAGACGCGATGCAGACTCTTCATCGACAACACGTGCGGCAGATAATTCAGGATCTCTGCAAACATATCCCCAAGGACATTTAACGCATCAGCTTCGGCCGGTGGTTCACCGTGCGACTCACCTTTCATGATCTGCGTGTACAGCCATTGCAGTTCCTGCTGCGTCGTCGACGCGGCGATCTTGTCTCGCGTCAGCTCGATGAGGTACTTCCACTCGGTGTCCTTCGTGTATTCGTCCTGAAAGGCAGGAGGCGCAATGAGTGCCGCGCACGCACGGCCGTCGACGAAGGACCTACCTTCGCGTACTGCAGCACCGCCTGCGAGCAGTTATCCATCAGCATCGCCGTGACCTCCTCCGTGTTCCGGACGCACAAGGTCTTGAGGGACAAGCCGCCGTCGATACTCTGCGTCTCGAGGAACTGCTTGACCTCGTGCAGGCATTCGACCGGCAGGTACTCGCACGACAGCACGGACTGCAGCTTGAACAGCTCCTTGGGCACGAGCCTCTCGCCCTCGGGCGCGTTGTTGAAGTTCGCCAGGTCCTTGAAGTCGTTCATGTTCAAGATCTTCTGATAATCCTTCGCGTACGGCGGCATCTTGTTGAGGTAGCTCGGCCGGTACTTGGCGAACATGAAGTACTCGTTGTCGTTCTCTCGCTCCTCCTTCGACTCGCTGTTGTAGATCTTGCTCTGCGTCAGCTTGCCCAGATAAGACCGCACCAGCAGCTTGAACGCCTCGACGAGGGCGAAGTCCGCGCGCACCTGATTCTTATTCAGGATCGCGCAATCCGTCATGGACTTCGAGCTGAAGTAGTTGTGCAGGTACTTCTCGAGGAAGGCTTGCAACGTGGCGGCCGCGTTGTGCCCGTCCCTGCCGACCCGAGACGGCAGGTACTCCAGGAATACCTGTATGATCTGGTGCAAGGACAACGTACCTTCGTCCTCGATGATCTGTATCAGGATCTCCGCGAAGGTGGTGTTCTTCATGAGCATCAGCGTGCCGGCGAAGTCCGAGAAGGTGGGGATCATGGGGCTCCTCTTCTTCATCGCGGTCACGTCGAACAGCAACTCCCAGCGGTCGAGGACGATCCGCTTGATGCACCGCACCGAGACCGGGTCCAGCGCCCTCTCCGCTTGCCTCTGCTTGTCGGCCTGGATGTAGAGGATCGCCAGGGCGAGCCTCACGGTGTCGTCGGTCTCGTGAGTCAGCAGCAGCACGTTGATCAGCTTCTCGGTCGCGTACTCCCGCAACACGCCGCTGCCGAAGATCAGCTTCAGCAGCTCCTCCTTCTCCAGCCTGCCGATGATCTCCATGATGTTGTAGCCCTGGAAGAGCGCGTCCGCCTCGGAGCCGCTCTTCATCGTGAGAAGAGCGTCGGTCAGGAAGGTCAGCAGCCCTGGCGCGTCCTGGCTGCACTTCCTGGACAGCACCTCCGCAGGCTTCAGCCCGGACATCCTGTAATAAGGGATGCACAGCTCCCAGTCGGCCTCGGTTTCCGATCGTACGTAGTAATCGGCGAGCAACGCGCACGACTGGTTGTAGAGATTCTTCAGCTTGAGATCGTTCTTGCGCGTCGCGTCCTCGGGCTCCTCGTCGTTGCGCCGGACGTCCTTCGCCAGGCGTATCAAGGCGTGCGCCTCCCCCAACAGGTGCCGATAGGTGCTCGGGCTGGAGGACCTGTGATTCTTCGCGGCGCTCAGGATGTCGAAGTAGACGTTCTCGAGGCTGGGTAGGTTCAGGGAGTACAGGGTCCAAGAGGTGTCAGCTTTCGCCAGCAGGACCAGGTGGCTTCTGGTGTGCAACAGCTTCTGTATACCGAGGAACGGTCTCAGGCCGATCAGACACACCGGCTCGCCCGGGCTGGGACACGTCGTTCCGTCGGTGCTGCTCGACTGCTTCGCGATGTGATGGGACAGACGCAGGGTGTAGGACTCGAGGCCGGCCTCGGTCAAGGCGTGAAGCATCGTATGCTCGAGCGCGACGTGGTGGACAGGCGCGGTGAACGGGTACGTGGTGAGACACGTCGCGTCCAGGGAGCTGTTGCTCGTCGCGGAGAAGTGGTACAGGTAGCCCTCCTGGGTCGTGCAGACGAAGCAGCTGACGCCCTGCAAGTACTTGTACCTGCTGGACCGCAGCATGGACTTCTTCATGCCGGCGGTGTTGCACTCCTTCTTCAGGTACAACGGCTTCAGCAGCAGGCACCTGAAGACCTCCAGGAACCCGCCGTCCAGCTTGTCACCGGCGTTGATCTTCAGACACAGCAGGGTCTTGATCGCGTAATTCTCGGACCAGCCCACGTCGGGCGAGGTGGTCTTGATGAAGATCCGGATGTCCGGTGAATTCAGGAGGAACGGGCTCAGCGCGTGACCCGGACCGGCTCTCTCCAGACTGATCGACGGCAAGCTCACCGTCAACGACTGGGAATTCGAGTCGATGATCCCCTGGGCGATCAGCCTCTGCGTCTCGTCCTTCTCGTTGCACACCAAGTGCTCCCAGTCGATGTAATTCTTGTTGCTACTCGGCTGCCTCGCCCGGCTGTGATCGCCCGTTTCCAATCTGCACCAGGTGTTCGGCCCTCTGTGCTTCTTGTCCTTGGACTTGAGCGCGCTCGGCAGCGCGTCGTTATTCTCGGACTGATCGGCGGGCTGGGCCGCGTCGTCGTTCCCGAGGCTGTTGCCGCTGTTCTCCACGAGCGACGAGTCCGTGGATATGGACGTCTTGTCGACGGAGGAGGAATTCGTCGAGGCCAACGAGCTCAGCTGGTCGATGTCCTCGTACATCGAATTCGCGAGGCGGAATACCGAGAGATTCGTCGCGTCCATCACGGCGACGAAGTCCTCCACGATCTCCATGTGCGTGGGCGCGAACGTGAAGCCCAAGGACCACGGCCTGGACTCGAAGTCTATGAACTTCATCCTCGAGACGTGTTGCGTCTCCAGCTTGAACTCGTGCAGAATCGCGCTGTTACCCGAGGCGACCAGCAGGTTGCCGGTGCTCTGGCAGCACGCGATCAACGTCGGCTGCACGCTGAGCGGCAGCTCTATCATCTCCAGACTGTTCAGGGGCCGGTTCAGACTCGGGGTGACGCGTCCCGCGATCCTCGCTCGCATCGCCTGGCTCTGATCCTTCACCACCGCCCAATTCACGTAAATCCTTACAAAATTAGAAGTCGCTCTGTTCCCATGATTATTGCTCGCGCTGTCTCTGAGATATTTTGATTCCAGTGTCACGACGTAGTCACCCTTGACGCAGTGCGCCATTTGATTGATCATGTCCACCGTGGGGAACACCGTGTGCACCTTGACGTCCGAGTTCATCAAGTCCCATACTTCCACGCAGTGCGTGGACAACGCCAGCAGGAGCATCTCGCGGCCCTGGCTGACGGCCGTGCACACCGCCATCGGCTCCTCGATCTGGCTGACATTCTGCCCCAGGAAGTTGTGCACCGTTATCACACGCACCATAGCTCCTCCTCTATCCGTGCCGTCTCTCACCGAGTAGCATGCCACGGAGTGTTGTGCGAGTCGGACTCTCGTCTTCGTTGGAACGGTGTCGCTTCGTTGACAATTACTGTGTGAGCATCATAACAGTGTGCGTATATATATATATCTCTTTCTATACGTATATGTGAGCTGAATATCCGTCGATGTTGCGTCGAGGTGTCCGCGCTGGCGAGCGTTGCGAGCCAGCACTGCCACGCGAAACGACGCAATACCTGGGTGAAAATAAGCGTGACTCAACGTACGGAATCGACGCGGTCCGTGGGAAAACGCCGATCCACTGGTAGCTCGATGAAGCTTCGGGCCCGCGACGAGGCCGCGGCTGCGGTCGCGGCTGACATTCCGGCGGGATGCGTGGCGGAGAGAGATAAGAGAGGCTGACGAGTCGCGGCGTCGGTGATCGTCGTCATCGTGTCGTGCGTTTCAAACAACTGTCGTCATACTTTGGGATGCATCATCCGGGGGAAGCGATCGGAATCCGACTCGCGAGGAAAGAGGAAGGCGGTTGCGCCCGGGTTCCGTTTGACATCGCACCCGTCGCGCCCTCAGCGCACCGGCGACGAGGTCACGCGTCCTGCGCATCGATTGGTCCCCCGGCCCGCTCTCGCCTTGACCGCTCGATCAGCCGCTTTGCGGGCGCAGCTTGAGCCAACGTGCCGACCAATCGGAACGACGATGTGTTATCGGCGGACACCTGCTCGCGAGTGTTAGAAGAGTGCCCGGCGAACGGAATTTAGAATACGCAGGTATAAGTGCGTGTTGCTTGTTCGTACATACACAATGACACGAACCGACGACACTGTCATTAACAAGGTAATGAATTCACGAGTTTTCTTCGCGCGACCCGCGCTATCGTCTCGTCGAGAGCGGGAGTTTCCCACGAGCAAGGAATGATTTCGTTACTCTTTTAATTTTTTTTCTTTTCTAAGATAAAACATGTGGAGGACAGTTTAAAGAATACCTTACACCGGGTTGAAATGATCGAGAAGAAGCTGAGGACGAGGTTGCTCACTACTGAGAATCGTGAGAGGCTGGAAAATGAACTGGAGGACGTTAAGGAGGTCCTCAGGAGGAACGAGGAGAAATTGCAGAGCTTGAGAAAAGAGAACTCAAAGTCCTTCATGGTGGCTGCGTGTTTGGTCTTCCTGTGTTTTCTTTTCTACGGTGTATACATGATGATTTCTGAGAACATTTAATGCACAGGACCGCGCGTACTTAGGGAAATTGTATTTTATTAGAAATTGATTTGTATATTTTGTAAATTTTTGTCGTAAGAGCAGAACAGTCACACTGTTGTTGAATCAGGTCTTAACGATATCTCCCAATGCATCAGTGAATATCAGCAAGGCGACAGAAATATGATTCAAAGATTAAAGTATAAAAGTAAAGTATAGTGCCACAATATATACACAGTACATGTAAATATCACTGTAATAAACATTCCAGATTTGTAAATCTTGTATATCTCATGAACGAGAAAATTATCACGTTTGAAGATACTCCCCCCTGCCATATATACATTTATAATTATACATATCTGATCATGATAAGACAATCAGGTGCATGTCTTTTTCTTGCAAAAGCAATTTTTTTTATTTTCATATATTAGTCGACAACAATTAAATTAAATGCTTCTCATATCTATACAGACTAGTTCATTATATCTTAGATGTTATATAAACATAAATTTCTCTGTTTCTATAAATGTAAATATGATCACTGTACGCACACTTGTACACTTGTATAGAATAAAGTCTGCTGTGTGTGTGTGTGTTTGGACCACTGACAATATATAAAGGAATATTCGTATCATTCAAGTTTAGTACACATTCAAGTGGAATGGAATTTAGATTGTACTCTGCCCTTAATTGTTAGCTATCAGGTCGTACTGTGGTACACCAGCTAGGCGACTGCGCATGTACTTTGCGTGTATCTCAGGTTCCAGGAAGCTGCCACACACCACGGAATCTTCCTTCATAGCGGCTCTCCATTCGAGCTGCGTTGAAGAAAGTTTCTCGTTACAAGCAGTCTCGATTTACACTTTAGAGATTACCCACGGGGACTAAATTAAATTACCAGTCGCAGGAAACGGTCTCGAGGTATGACAAACTGTTCCCCCTGTAGAATTCTCATTGCGTCGGCCCTCTCACACCATGGCCATATCATAAAATCCAACATTCCAGGCTTGCTCCCACCGAAAAAAGCTGTTCCTCTCTTAGCTAACTCCCGCTCGTAGAGCTCTAAGCCAGCCAGTGCCTCATTGAACAGCTCTTGCTCCAGCATTGGTGTTTGATATAACTGCAAAATAATGAATTCTAAGTGCAATCAGTACTCTTGGGCACCACACACATGAACATATTATGTGAATGCATAGGAAAAAACCAGTAATAGCGATAAATACCTTGTACATTATTGTTATCACCTCATTAAATCTGTCAATCAGTAACTTATCTTTGGCTTTCGCCAGAGGCTGGCTTGGATACAGTTTATTTTGAGGATAGGCCTCATCTAAGTAATCGACAATGATTAGGCTCTGATAAAGCGTCTCTCCTCCCTCCAACTCGATGCACGGTATATTTTCCAGTGGATTTTTCTCGATCAACCAGTCCGGCTTGTGCTTCAAATTTACATTTACTACATCGTACCTAGGTGCGAGACAGTGCGAAGCATATTGCAGAAGCAGGTACATGCAAAATTGCACGTAGAAATTATATTCGATAGCTACTTCCCGAGGAAATCACTCGGGAATCTTTCTTTACGAGAAGAGAATTTAATTGTTTGAAAAAATATATGCCAATGAGGCAACGTAATGATGCTCACGGTATTCGTTTTGCGTCCAATACGAGAAGTACCCTTTGTGCGTAAGGACAGAAACGCATGCTGTACATACGTATTTTCCCAGGTACAAGTGGCGGAGGTACCGATCCTGAAAGAACGCCGGTGTTCTCGTCAATCGTGGATTAACTCGCGTGCTTTTATCACTTTACATTGTACAACTGTTATCCTTACCGGTGCTCAAGTGTTTCGTGTTCATTTTGATCCTCGTGCTACTTGCGTCAAAAACACTCGTCCCCTCGTTTCAAATAACACTTGACATTTCCGTTACACGGCCGGACCGAGGAATAAATATCGATGACACTATGAGTTTCTCTACGCGCAGATATCGCAACCGTCATACAGGTATGACAGAAAGTTTGTATCGTGGCGCACATGTGCGGCCTTCTATATCGATTTCGCATCCTTTTCCCGCCAAATGTGTGTCAAACATGTTTTGAAACGAAATGAAATATTTCGCAAACGTATGATTCAATGTCGCAATCGATCATATGGATCTTTGATCTTAGAAAGTTGCATTTAATAGGTGTTGATACACAAAATATGAATGATTATAGGACGGATTATAGTAGCTCGCAATCTACTGGTTGCATGTTTGGTCTTCTCATTGTTTGAATTAATTTTTTCTCCATTTTTATTTACAATTTTAATTAATTTAATACGTAAATAAATATTCGACGACTATACACGTTTCTCTTGCGATGTATCTTTCAACGTACAATTAACCTCAAGCAAAAATAAATAAATTTTATGACGGAAATAATAGGCTGTCAATAATAATTGATTGTTACAGGCTTCTACATGTAAATCTATATTAAAAGAAAGTCAGTCCACGTTTGAACGTTCTTTTTAATATGGATTAACATCTGGAATATTGATTATTCAAATCTTGAATGATCGCTGTAATTTATTAACATATAAAGATTTGAAACAAAAGAAAATCTTGAAACTGGAGAAACCAAAACTTTACTATCTGAAAATAAAGATATGTCTAACTTATCATTGAGTCATGCATCTATCTAACTTATCATTGTCATACACCTTGATTCTCTCGCTAGTATAGTGACGACTCATAGCGGAGGTTTCGGAACTAATCGACGTTACAAATAAAATAACGAGTCTAATTAATTTATAAAGGGTCAAAGTTTTGCAACGTTTACTTGGCGCCATCTAACGGTATCAAGCGAAACTTCGTTCGCAAAAAGTTTGAGTCTCGGCTAAACAGGTTCGAGTCTTGGCTAACACTGTGGTGTAGAAATTTAGTTTTGAAGTCTCCGCTACGAGTCGCCACTATACGTAACGAAGATTCGAAGTCGTAGTACGGCTTGACGAAATGTATCTTTTATTTTTAAGTAGTATAGGTATAGTATAAGTCAACGGCGAATTAGAAGATCTTTTAAACAATACAAAATAACAATTATTGGTTTATTTAATTATATTAATTAATTTATTCATCTCTCTCTCTTTCTCTCTCTCTCTCTCTCTCTCTCTCTATATATATATATATATATATATTTCTTCAATACATTATTATTATATTTGTGTATGCAGTTATTATGTTATAATAAATGAAATAAATGAAATAGTTAACAGTGCATCCATTATCGGTTTTATTTGTTTTTGCTTGTGATTAAATCTATTTCGAGATATCGAAATCGGAAAACATACTTATAATCGTCGGATATTCCTCCATTTGTGTATTAAAATAATTTTAAATGTATAAGTAAAACGACAAAAGGTCCAAAAATGAGATCGAAAGTGACTGTGCGACAACCGCTTCGTACCAATCGATAATCGATAATTCGAACATCGAGACTTTTTAAACGATCTTTCTTAGACACAAAAACGTCTCGCCTAAACGATCTTACCTATGTCGCTGTTAGGCTCCTTTTTTTCCTTTAATAAACGATTAGTAATTGGCGGGACTAATTAGAATATCCTTATATTTTGTCGTTTTGACGGCTCAAATCACTTCGCCCATCGAAACTAGGTTAATATAATGAAAATCGACGATTTCTACCAGCCATCAATCGCATTTCGACGACTTCGTAATTAATTAATTATTTATAAATCGTCTATAGTCCAAAGAACTTTTTGGTGAGGAATTTAAGAAAACTATTCTAAATAAGTTAAATAAAGCATGTGTGGTAAATTCTTATTGTTAAAAGTTCTCAGTTTTTATAAGTACAGAAATAGACATCCATACTGTAGTTTCAAAGACACGCGATAATTGACAGACAAGGGCAGGAACAAGGATAGGAAATAGGATGACAAAACCAGAATGTAATTTGAGTGTTGCATTTAGCAATAGAAGTTTAAGGCAATGAAAAAGAAAGGTATTTGCCAAGTACTCAACAAGATAAAGCCGGTAACGGAGAGAACGGTAGTATAGAAGTGATGCAGAGACGTTAGGTAAGACCTGGAACTCGTGACGATGGATGACAGCGTGACGATGGTGCTGAGTTGATGTTGATGCTGATATTAATGTTAGTGCTGATATTGGTGTCGGCGTTGGTGGTGGTTGAGCACAAAGTGTTACGAAGAAAGAGAGAGAGAGAGAGAGAGAAAGAGAGACACAAGAGCGAGCGGCGAGAGGAGCGCAAAGTGGTGGAGAGGACGATGTGGAGGAACGGCGCGGGCGCTGATTGGTAGCAGAATCGATTAGCCAAGCCGAGCTAAACCTCCGGCACCGCGGCAGGTTCGGCGTGGCGACGCCACGAATTTCCCGAATGGGGGTTTCCCGTTGGGGCGGACCCAGCCGCCGTACCCGGGGAATACCCCCGGCCCTCTTCTCCATGGCAACCCGACCAATTCGCCAACCGCCGGCAACCAAGACTGACCTACCGTGTGTTCCTCGGCTTATTTTTCTCCTATCTGCCTCCGCGTTCCTCTTCCCTCCTCGTCCTCCTCGTCCACCTCCTCGTTCTCCTCCACCACCTCCTCCTTCACCATCACCGCTACGGCCGTGTCTCCGCTCCTTTTGTC